GGGGGGGGGGTTCGTGGGCACCGTGATGAAGAAAAACAAATCTCTGACAAGTAGACTATACAAAAAGATTTAGTCAGCACTGATGATAGCTCATTGAAAATATATTCCTCTCACATGAATCAGACAAGAAGAACAAAATATAAAATTAGGAGGAAAATTAGGTTGACTGTCTGCTATTTATTACCTTCTGTTGCATACAACTAAAATCAATAAATAATAATTAATAAAAACATCACAGCTGTACACAAAATAATGAGGATTCATGTGGGCAGTCAGCACATATATGATAATCATTTCAGAATTCTGTTATATCTTGGCAAGATCCAGGAAGGATTCTCATTTATTGTCATTAATAATAATGGCAATAACAATGTAATGATTCAATTCAATTGAACACTTATATTCTTTTATTCAATTTGACAAACATATTTGACATCTGTTCAAACAATAAAATTTATACGAGGAACATAAATATAATAAAAGAACTTGTATTACAAGGAAGAAGGCGCAAAACCCGATAAGCAGAGCTTGTAATGGGTAAGTCCGAATACACAAATACATAATATACATTATAAATAGAAGAAAGGAAGAAAGGGGTAGGCAAAGAGGAGAGGAGGATAGAGAGCTTTGAGAAAGAGAAAAGAAGAGAGGAAAAGAAGAGGACTGCAACATAGTAGCAACGGAGTGCATGGCATGCATACACAACATAATGGCAAGATATAGGTGATGGGTATTATGTTGAAATATTTGACTGCATATATATATACATATATATACTTTGTTACAAGTACATGCATTTATACAACATAGGCCTATACATACATACATGTATGTTTGCATAATTAGACACATGCATACAACATACTTCTACATCCATACACATCCCCTTATACAATATACATACACACTCGTAAACCTAATCGGGTATAGGGCTATTACTAAAATTGTAATGATACATTTTTTAAGCTTCCAAGAGAACTCTTAGCAGAAATACAGATTTCCTCATAGAATCAAGTAAATCGTTCCAAAGCTTAGGACCGGTAAAACAGATATTATTTTGAAAAATACGTTTATGGTGTTTAGGAATATAGATTTTATCAGATGATCTGGTACCTTACTTATGTATCTGAAACACATTGAAATTGGCCGCAGAACTGAGAAGGTAGTTGTGAGTTTAGACATTTATATGATAATGTACATTGACATAGGCCAGAGGCGGCGGAACAAATTCCAAAGTGGGGGGGGGGGGGGCACCAACAAAAAAGGGCACTTTCTGGAAAAAAGGGCACCTTCAAATGGAAATCCTCAAAGCGAAAATATACAATTTTTTAGACATTGGTATATACCCTATATTGTGATTACGGTACATTATCAGGGATGATTTCAATATTTGTTTCTTTTTTACATCATATAAGATCATTGCTTAAGCATCATACTTTGCAGTTGGGTATGATGGTCTGACAATTCATTTGCGAGCGAGGACAAATTTAAAGATTTGTGAGGTCGCAGTGCGAAAAATTACATAAAGAGGAAAACCCAAATCCTGATGGGGTTATAAGCACATTCTCATAACGGAAGACTAAAAAGACCTTTGGTAAGTTACATAATTACAACATCTAGGCTATAACCAAGAGCGAGCAAGCTTTTGGGGGAAATTGCTCTTAGTCGCTTGAAATTAGGGGCACGTTTAATGACGAGAGGAAAAGAGGACACTTATCGAAAGGGTTAAGACACTTATTAGAAAAGAAAAGGAGCATGTGTCAAAGTACAAAGGCTAACTATCAGAGGTGAAAATGGGGTACTTCTTACACCTAAAAAAAAGAGGCACGCACCAGGGATGAAAAGGGATTTTATAAGAATGAGAAATGGGCATTTGTCGACGGAAAAGGGGCACCCATCAGATTTTGATAGAGGCATTTATAAGAAGTGAAAAGGGGCATTTATGAAAAAGGGATAGGTTCCTTATTAGAAAGGTAAAATGGGCACATATCATGTTAAAAAGGGTAATTATCAGAGGTGAAAAGGGGAAATTATGAGAATGAAAAAGGGGCACTAATGATAAAGAGAAATATGCATTTGTTGAAAGAAAAGGGGCACCGATCAGATTTTAATAGGGGCATTTATCGGAGGTGAAAGGGGGCTTTTATGAGAAGGGGTGTGTGGCTCTTATTAAAAAGAAAAAGAGGCTCATGTTAAAATAAACGGGGCACTAATCAAAGATGAAAGAGGGTAATTATGAGAAGGGGAAGGGGCACTTATAAGAAGGAAAAAGAGCATTTATTAGGAAGGACAAGGGGGACGTGTCAAAATAAAAGGGGCATTTATATAAGATGAAAAGAGCACTTATCAGGAGGGGAAAGGGCACTTGTCAAAGTAAAATGAGTATCTCTCAGAATTGAATAGGGTCATGTACAAGAGATGAAAAGGGGCACTAATGAGAATGAAAAGGGGCATTTATGAAAAGGGAAAGGGGCTCTTTTTTAAATGGGGGCACGTATCGTAAGAAAAAGGGGCACTTAAATGCACAAAATGTAAAGGGGGCACATGTGAAAATATGAGGTGCGCTTATCCGAGTTAAAAAGGGGTAGTTATTAAAAGGGAAGGGGCACTTTTTACAAAGGAAAAGGGGAGACTCTCAGATTTGAATAGGGCCATTATATCAGAGGTGAAGGGGGCGCTTACCAAAAGCGAAAAGGGGCGCTTCTTGTCATGAAAAGGGGAACTTACTAGAGATTAAAAAAGGCACTTATGAGAATGGAAAATGGACACTTATTGCAAAGGAATATGTCAACTTGTCAAAAGAAAAGGGGTACGTGTCAAAAATAAAATTGGCACTTAGAAGAGGTGGAAAGGGGAAGGGGCATTTAAAAAAATTAATAGGGGCACTTGTCAAAGTAAAAGGGGCACTTTTCCTTTGTAAAAAGGGGCACTTCTTACAAAGTTAAAGGGGCACTTTTCCAATGTAAAAAGGGGCACTTTTGGGTACTTGAAAAAGTGGGCGCAATTTTAAATTACGAAGTTGTTTACTCGTTATTCAAAATGGCGCCGCAGTTGGCGCATTCGAACTCTTGTGACTGTGAAAGGGTGTATAAAGGGAAAATTTCATTTGAAAGTGCAAAATTTCTGTTTTTCTTTTTTCTTTCTAATTCATTATTTATTGTGTTGTTTCCCTGTGTCTTTAAAGTGATCAGAGTAAGAAATAGAGAGAATACGACACAGATGTTTTTGTGTGTCTTATTCACTCTATTACTTTATTGTGCTTTTTTTTATTCTTTTTTCATTATTTCATATTTTCAAAGGTATCAATTTAAATTTATTAGGGAAGAATAAAGACCAAGATAAAAATCAAGTTTCAAGGCCATACCAAGGGACCTCTTAATTACATATCACATCATATATTATACATGTATTATCATACCATATCATAAAATGTCATATACATACCACACGTACTGGAACATAGTAATAAACACAGTAATAAAAGTACCCTGCCAAATCAATTAGTCCTGGAACAAAGTGATAAAAGTAACTCTGTCACACAGTAAAGGTAGTCCTGGCACAAATTGAAAGTACTCCTGGTACATGTACATAGTCAAACTAGTCTGCGTCTGACTCAGACGATGACATATGGAAAAGTGGTGTCTTTTGGCGAGTCTTGAACGCATGCTCACGCACATGTATTATGAACAATGGGCACAGGCTTCAAAAACCGTTCTTTTGTCAATGATATTGGTGTATATTTGCAATGCTGCAAAATACAAGGCTGGCGTGAACGGTATTCTATTGTCTACATTTTTTTCTTGTATTTTCCAGAATATGAGAAAATAATTTCAAAAGTATTCGCGTCGGAAAAGGCCATAGGTGTGTAGATTATATCAAGATACACCTATGTATGGCCTATAGAACGCACACAGACCATTCACAAATTTATGGCCTGTTACCCTATGGAAGACGGAACACTGGGGGCAGCATCACCAAAATTTATAGATGTGTAGATTATACCAAGATACACCTCCATGTAAAATTTGAAAGAAATCTGTCAAGGAATGTGGCAGTTAGAGCGCCTACGTAAATTTGACTCGGCGACGGTGAGGGCACGCTTAAGAGACCAAAATACCCGGTCGGCATCATTCCGGGGGATCCTATTATAGCTGTAGAAGTTGTGTACAGTCGAGATCCGCGATCCGTGGGCGGGGAGGGTCGGAGTAAAGTCCTGGTCACCGTTATCCTGGACCCTCATTGGTGTGTGGCCTGCTGACTCATCCCCGCTGGTGCTACTGATACTAATTAAGCTATCCGTCGCACTGAATGTAGAGGGGTTTAGTTGGTCCATCAATTCAGGGGTGCTGAGGCCCGGGATAAGGTCCAGGTAGGGGCTGACAGAAGTAGGAGCATAGGTGGGACAGGTGGGTTGGTACTGCTGATGCGGCAGTTGCTGTGGTTGCTGCTGCAGCTGCCGCTGTTGAGTTGACATGTTCTGTACACACAAGAAAAATGCACATTACCATGGGCGTAAATCCTTATGTAATACCTATTGTTCAGGGGGTGGGAAGATCTATTCATTCATCCCCCCCTGAACAATAGGTATTACGTAAGGATTTACGCCCATGCACATTACAATAAAGAATCTCTATAAATGTTATATTATACATAGAATGATAGTTTATTTCTTTATAATAACCTACCAGAAACTGTCTGACGACTGGCATATTCCCTGCCAGTTGCTTCTGATGAAAATGGGGCTGCGGCTGTTGCTGAAACTGCTGGGAAATGGGCCGGAACAGGCCCTGGGCCGGGAACTGGGAGGCCGCGGGCAATGGTGGGAACATGGCAGTAGGAGCTGGGGGTGAAGCTGGGGGTGGAGCTGGGGGTGGAGCATGGGGTGAAGCCGGAGGTGAAGCTGGAGGTGAAGCCGGGGGTGAAGCCGGGGTGAAGCCGGGGGTGAAGCCGGGGGTGAAGCCGGGGTGAAGGCGGGGGTGAAGCCGGGGGTGAAGCCGGAAGTGAAGCTGGGGGTGAAGCTGGACACTCCTGACCACTCGTACGGTGCCCCTCATCCATTTTCTGATAGCACCGGGACAAGGTCAGGGTTTCCGTCTGGAACTGACAGAACTTCTCCTTCGGGCAGTTGTACACCACCGTCTGCAACCAGCTGGCCACGCCTCTCTCTCGTCCAGTTGCCTGGTTGCAGACTCTTCCACCTGGGAAGGGGGGGGGGGGGGAAGAGAAAACAAAGGAAAATGAGGTAAATAAATGCAAATTTCAAAAGACGTGTGATATTGCAAAGTACAGTACACCTTATCGTAAAATAGAAAATTATTGAAACCTGAATAATTGCAAATGTCAAAAGACATAAGTAAGCGGAGGGCCAAATTCAAATATCATGCTTATAGTTTTTGAGTTGGTTGCCACTACTGAATACCACAAAAACTAGAAATCGCAATCTGTATTGCTGTGCAATGCGAATGTAGCAGTGATTTTGTGTCATCCTTATTTTCGAAGGGAGGACATAGATTCCCTCTCTCCTCCCTGAAACAAAAGGATGACTTAGAGATCCCCACTAGTGGCTCAGCCTATTGTCAAGACTAGAAGCAGCATAACCAAAACAATATGACGTGTGAGGATTTGAGTATAATGCATCTCTGTAGGAAATTTGAAAGAAATCTGTCAAGAAATGTGGCAGTTAGAGCACACAAAATTCAGCCACCAAAATATGACCTTTGACCCTATAACAGACAGAACACAGGTGGAAGCATCACCAAACACTAAAGATGTGTAGATTGTACTAAGACACACCTCCATACAACATTTGAAAGAAATCCATCAAGAAATGTAGCAGTTAGAGCGCGTTAAAGACATATGACATTTGACCATATAACAGACAGAATGATGAGGGCAGCATCACCCAAAAGTTTAGATGTGTAGATTGTAACAAGATACATCTCCATTCAAAATTTGAAAAAAATCTGTCATGAAATATGGCCTGCAGAAATGACCTTTTGCCCCTATAAAACACGGGACACTGGTGGCAGCATCGCCAAAAACTATAGGTGCATAGATTTTACCAACATACACTTCAATACTCAATTTGAAAGAAATCTGTAACAAAATGTTGCAGTTAGACTGCACACTAGAGCTAGTGCACACAAGACATCCATCAAAATATGACCTTTGACCCTATTCAAGACGGAACACTGGAGGCAGCATCACCAAAATATATAGGCTTGTAGATTATATCAAGATACACATTCAATCAAAATTTAAACAAAATCCCTTGAGAAATGTGGCCTAAGGATCGTACACAAACCATCCACAAAAATAAGGCCTTTTACCCTATAGAAGACGGAACACTGGGGGCAGCATCACCAAAAGTTGTAGGTGTGTAGATTATACCAAGATACACCTCCATACAAAATTTGAAAGAAATCCGTCAAGGAATGTTGCAGTTACACCGCACACTAGAGTGCACACAAGAAATCTATCAAGATATGACCTTTGACCCCATAAAAGACAGAACACTGGAGGCAGCATTACCAAAATCCATAGGTGTGTAGATTATACCAACATACACCTACATTCAAAATTTGAACAAAATCCCTTGAGAAATGTGGCCTATAGAGTGGTGAAGTGTGACGTCATCAAAAATCTATTTTCAGAATTTCTCAATTTTTTCTTCATTTTCCGAAAGAGCATCAAAAATTATGTCCAAATGTCGAACACCAATTGAATATGTTAAGTATTTGCTGAGATATGATCATCTGAATAAATATATTTCCTATAGGAACTCAGTGTTATAAAAAAAATTGAAAAAATTGAGAAAATCCAAAAATAGATTTTTATGACGTCACAGCTTCAGTACATTATAGAGCGCACACAAACCATTCACAAATTTATGGCCTGTTACCCTATAGAAGACGGAACACTGGGGGCAGCATCACCAATATGTATAGGTGTGTAGATTATACCAAGATACACCTCCATGTAAAATTTGAAAGAAATCCGTCAAGGAATGTGGCAGTTAGAGCGCACACAAGAATATGACGGGGCCGCGGCGTAACGCTGCTGAATCCAAAGTACCCCACCGGCATACTGCTGGGAAATACAACAAGCACACTTGTCCTTGTTTATTCCAAAGGTTTTTAATCCTATTACACATTATATACCTCATTTTAAGATTCTTTACTAATCCTGTCTTCTGATTGGTTGAAAATGCAGTCATGTTCTTAACCATGCCCGCTAATTGAAATTCATAGTCATTTTTCCCGGCTCTACCGGTTTATATCAATTTTTCATAGCACTTTTTCCATGGCTGTGAAACGTGACGTCATTTTGCTGCGATCCCCATTTTGGTTTACGTGTTACCGTATAAGTTTCTTTTGTGCGATGACCGATGTGCAATACCGTTAACGGTGTTTGAGTGCAATTCGATTTTGGTCGCTGCATTCAGGCGACGAATCTACCAATCCACGCAGCGCAGACGACCGATCGCCATTTTGTGTACTAGTCTCGATCGCAAAATACTGGGGTTTTTTGTTTCCAATTTTTTGTCAATAAAGAGGCAAAATGGAGGACACAGCTATGCCAAGATTTCAACTTATGGATGACATTCAGCTGCAAGACTTAATCGATTTTGCTGATAGCAAAAATACGAAGTATGCAGTAAAATACGGCATTAAAATATTTGAAGAGTTCTTGCGAAATGTCAACATGGACCTCGGAGATGTAAACAGACTTCCGAATGCAGACCTGGACAAGACCTGGACTAGACGCACAGTCTGTGTAAATATGTTGCGAATTTGTGAATTTATAAAGTTACTGTTCATGTTCTACTGTTCTACTGGAGCACAGCTTGTTGGTGATATCATCCTGTACAAAAGTTACTGTTCGTGTAAACGTGTTTGGTATTCCCTGTTCTACTGGAGCACAGCTTGTTGGATTTCATACTGTACACAAGTTATTGTTGGTGTTAATATTCATGACTTCAAAGAGATGGAAACCTAAATGGGTGAGTCAACATTTTCCTTTTTTTCGGTATATAAAATATATATTGACTGCTTTTAATATTCGAGGCATAGTTGTTTCTATAGGGTCTCAGAAAACTCACAACCTGCTATGACCCCGCGGCGCAAGCGCCTTGGGGTCATAGCAGGTTGTGAGTTTCCCTTGACCCTATAGAAACCACTATGCCTCTCAAAGCAGTCAATATATCCTTAATATTTCAGAGGTGTTTTTTAAAAATTTGTAGCAAACACCTCAAAATCGGAGGAGGCATCCAAAAAACCTGCACTTTTGACGAAAAATAGTATTTTGTCAATAATATTTTAAGAAAACCTTGAATCACCATGGTGTCATATAAAAGACAATTAAATCACCTTCATTTTGACATCGCAATTTTAAGTAAAAAAACATGATATTTTGGTGATTTTTTTCGAAATATTGAATTTTATCAAAAAACATTTTTTTCCATAGATCAAAATTGGAGAGATTTTTCTTTTGTTACTTTCCAGAAATGTGCCCATGTACACAGACAATATCCTGTGCAAAGAAGAGGCTTTTATCTCTTTTTAGTGAAAAGTTATAGCAACCCAAAGTTATTGATTGGATTTCCACAAAAACAACATTTTTGCCCATATGTGTATTATCTGTATGCATAGTGTATTAGTGTATTGAGGACTTGTTTGGTATTAAATCAAGTTTTAAATCAGTCAATGACCGAAATAAAATTTTGAAGAAAATAGAAAGAATGCCCTGCATACAGGCCTATCACAATACACATATGGGCAAGAATAATAATAATAATAATATCAACATTTATAATCCACCCAAGAGATGCTCAAGGCGCCTAACAATGTAATATTTTTGTAGAAATCCAACCATAACTTTGGGTTGCTATAAATTTTCACTGAAAAGAGATATTATAAGCCTCTTCTTTAATGGCACGGTATATTGTCCATGTGCATGGGCACATTACTGTGTAGTTACGAAAAGAAATACCTCTTCGATGTTGATATATAGAAAAAATATATATTTTTTTTAATAGAACTCAATATTCTGGCAAGGTACGCTTATTTTGCGCTAATTTTAGACCATGGGTTATGTAAATGAACTTATGAAGGTTTAAAACATGGGTTAAATTTAAACCTCCTTTGTGAATTCGGGCAATGGTGGTTCAAGGTTTTCTTAAAAGTTTATTGATTAAATACAAATTTTTGTCAAAAGGGCCACTTTTTTGACACCCCCTCCAATTTAGGGGGGTTTGCTACAAATTATTTAAAAAACACCTCTGAAATATGATGTATTGTGATAAAATCTTTCAAATAAACTAGGTGTGCTTAGTTTGTGTGGCAGTAGCAGGCAAACCCCTATTTTCTGACTTTGGCCCTTCGCTTGAATTATGACACAAGACATTTTAAAGTACAGTTTAGGTCATCTAGAAATAGGTTTTCAATTACCTTTTTCTTGGTTTCCCGGTCCCTTCTCTGGTTCTCCCCCACATCAGGCACACTATTTTCGCCCGTCTTCTTCCTGCTGATGCTGGTGCTGGTGCTAATGCCGGCCCTGTTCCTGTACCTCTTAGACGCACAGACTTGGCTGTCAGCACTGCTGCCCCTCTTCCGACTTTCAGTTCCTCTGTCCTCGTCCTCATTGTCGGGTGCCCCAAAGTCTTCCTGCGCCCGATCCACTTCGTCATCATCCTCGTCCTCGTCCTGGCTAGCAACCTGAATTTTTAAGTGACAAATAAAAGGACGCAGAGAAAGGTGAATATTATGTAAATGCAACACTCAAAATATTCTGTCAAGGACTGACAAAAAGAAGATGCACATTTAAATAGCGGTTCTATATAAATGTGCTGTCAGCTAGGGACCGACAATATAAAGACAAAGAAGAGGATCATTTGAACACACAAAAGTTCAATGCCAAGCTTACCCTTCCTAACTCCTGTCCCTGAGTCCGGGGCCGAATGACCTCATCCAGAAAGGCCAAGTTCTGCAGCTTCCACTCCTGTCTGCTGGTCAACCTGCAGGATGCTTGGCCAAGTTGGCCTGACTTCCTCGCAGATCTGGCCCGCTTCTTGAGCTTGCCATAGGCACTTCGGAGGTTCTTGAACCTTCTTTGAATATCCTTCACTGCAAACAAAAGAAAATCACATTAGAGGGAGTCAGAGGAAAGTGAATATTATCTACATGTATTTACACAATTTAGTAATTTTTCATGTGACTTGGACAATTGACATTGAAAATGCAATACAAATCAATAATTTAAGCATTTCAGGCATCATGCACATTTATACATTACGGTAAGTATTTTCACAATTCAGGAACTTTTCTTGTGACTTTTACGATTGACAATGAAAATACAATACAAATCAGTAATTTATGAGTTAAAGAAATGAGAAAATGGTCATACTTTAGCTTAGCAAAGTACCAACTATATATTGTGTAACTATGTGTACCAAAAATTTAATAACTCCATAACTTGACCGATTGGTGCAATACATGGGGAGCCAATATTTCTTCTAGAAAAACTAAAGTCAGTTTTCTCAAATCGTCCTTGCACCAAGCCAACCCTTTTTATTCAAGGTAAAGAAATTGAAGTGGTTAACGAGTTCAAGTTCCTAGGTTTGAATTTTGATTCTCATCATTCCTGGAATAGTCATAGAAAAACATATTTTCAAGAGAAGCGCTTGAATGTTCTTAAATGCCCGACAGGCACATGACGGGGTGCAGATACAAAAACGCTACTAGTACTATACAAATCTTTTATCAGATCTATATTAGACTACGGAAGTGAAATATATGACTCTGCAAAAACTACCAAAAAGACAAAACTAGATATAATTCAATTGGAAGCCCTAAAGATAAGCTCTGGTAGAACGTATTTCACCTCGTTAGCTGCATTACAAATAGAATGTGGAGATATGCCACTGGAAATCAGACGGATTCTAATGAGCTCAAAACAAAGAATCAAAATCAAATCATCTGACAAAAACCATCCCACTAGAGAATGTCTACTGGATTGCTGGCAATATCGCCTCCTAAGTTGGAAAAATGAAATTCCTTTTTATTTGAGGATCATCAGACCAGACGGACCAATGAAATCATATATTCTAGCCAAGCATCCACTGTGGCTTTCTTCTCACCCCACTGTTTCCACTGACCTGTCAGAAATGATGTCAAAGAAAGAAAGTTTTAACTACGATATGAGAATTAAGACAATTGAACTCATTAATGAACTAGATGGAACTTCGACTGCGCGCAGTCGAAAATGATGCCTCCGTCATAGAGCAATTTTACAAACCAAAACAGAAGAAATTTTTCAAATTCAAGTTCAATTGTAATTCATTAACAGGTTCTCAGAATATCGTGATTACAAGGAATTTCTCATATACATATATGACCCTTTGATCTTTGACCTCATGACCCTAAAATCTACTCAGTTAATTGGCTCTGCAAGATGTCCTGAGTTAAATAGTAATCCATCTGTCAGTTCTAATGAGAATGCGTTCACAAGCTATTTGTGCATACATAATGAGCCCATGACCTTTGACCTCTTGACCCAAGAATCTACTCAGTTCATATTGGCTCTGCAAGATACATACATGATTTAAGTTTGGCAGGAATCCATCAATCTGTTCTAATGATCATGCTATCACAAGCTATTTTTGCATACATCATGAGCCGCATGACCTTTGACCTTGACCTCATGACCCCAAAATCTAATGAGTTCATTGGCTCTGCAAGATACCTACATGATGAAAGTGTGGCAGGAACCCATCGATCGGTTTTTCCAGATAACGCGATCACGAGAACGAGACGTACGGACGTACAGACGTACAGACGTACGGACGTAGGAAGTACGGACGGACATACGGACGGACGTACGGACAACCTGAAAACATAATGCCTCCGGCTACTTCGTAACGGAGGCATAAAAATGGTCAGAACAGTACATATACAGATGGATTAAAGAGTGAGGAAGGAGGAACAAGTTCTGCTGTGTATATTCCCAAATATGAGGTAAAAATAGCAAAACATATTTCTTCAGTGTCAATAGTCAGCGCTGAACAGTTAGCAATTCCTTTAGCTCTCCAGTGGGTTCAAGAAAACAGACCTAGTAAAGCAGTGATATTTTCCGACTCCCTCAGTGTTTTAAAGGACTAAACTTGTGAAAAAAGGCCTTCAAGCATTGAATCTGAAATCGTATACGGTACACTTTAACACAGAAAGAAAACAATGGTACAAGTGTATGTTGTGAGTGGATACCATCCCACTGTGACATTGCAGGAAATGGAAAGGCCGACAGCTTAGCCAAAACAGCAATAACACATGATATTAAAATTGTTCTTCCTTCCAGTTGTGAAGAGATGCTCTCGAAAATCCAAGATAAATCGATGAGGCAATGGCAAAACCGATGGGATAATTCCCAAAGAGGCCTTTTTTTGTACCATATTCAACCAAAAATGCAACCTACATTTGAATCCAACCTGCATAGTAAAAGAGATGAAAGCATAATTCACCGACTGAGACTGAGAGTCGGTAGTTGCCTTTTGAAAGAAACTCTTCAAACTAGGCAAACATCCAAATGGTCTTTGTTTATATTGTAACAAAACAGAAAGTGTACAACATTATATTATTGACTGTAAACAGTTCGACAGAGAAAGAATAAAGCTGCGACAAAGAATTATACCACTAAGCCTGGAAAATGTTCTCTCTTCAAAGAATCAAAAAACTATATTAAGATATGTACGACAAACAAAGAAATACAATATCCTTTAACCCCCCCCCCCCCCCCCCCATCTATCCCTCTCCCCTTCCCTCTTTTTGTTGTTGGTACTATGAATGTATTATGTAACTGTTTATGTAATTGTAATGTAAGCAGGGCTCAAATAATTTTTTTGTCCACAGGGGCTCTTTCAACAAAAAAGAGCCCCCATGAACCTTCTCATGGGGGCTCTTTTTTAAATACAAATTTCCATTGAATTGGTACCCATGATACTCCTCAATTCTTGCTATTTCATCTTTATCAATTATTTAAGACAGCATTTTCCCGGCATACAAATTTACAAGTTACATAGCTGTTACTTTATTTCCTCCTCATTATTCGGAGCAACCTTCACATTCTTTCTTTACCCAGGGGCAGATTTAGCAATTTGCTAAGGGGAGGGGGAGGGGGGGGGGAGGATTTGACCCACTGCAGAGCATCGTCTATAAAGAGCCGCATAGCGGCGATGCAATTTTTTTTTGGTGCTATTTTGAAGTTTGAACCCCCGTCAGTGATGTTTTCCTGGTATCTACTTACATCTACTAATACTGTGTGGGTCTGAACACATAACAGCGTTTTTCAATGCACATCACATTTTCACTTGGCAGCCCAAAGGAGGGGGGGGGGAGGGGAAGTTAAACCCCTAACCCCCCCCCCCCCAACAGAAAAGATAATCTTTATTTTATAAATCCACAGGGGCGATTTTTAATTTAATTTTAACAGTTTCTTTGCTCGTTCCTGACAAAACGTCATCGGCCAAAACATGGAAACTCAAGTGACATCATGCTTAGAAGTACACTGTGTATCTGAGTGGCCTAGATCCGCAGGATTGATAAGCAGGATGATACATCCCCCCGGCCCCAGCAGTGGACCAGCAAAGGACAGACGCACAGAGTTTCCAAGCCAGGAGCATATGACGACTCAACTATCACGACACGACTCAAAACTAGACTAGGCATAATTCGCAAATAGTCAAATCTGACTGAGCACCACAAATATAACCAACAACAACAACAACAACCAAAAATATAAAGTTTTAAAGATTTCTTCTCTACCCACCAGTCCACTTTATCTCCTTAGCCAGCTCCGCCAGTTTCGCCTCCTTCAGCTTGGTGTTGCGGTACTTCTCATGTCTCAGATTGTAGAGGTATGGATGGGCCTCATAGAACTTTACAATACGCTGAAGAAGAGCTGGAGATACGTCCTTATATTCTGCATCTGCAGGATCATGGTCCTGTTCTGGCTGCTCTGGCAGTGTCTCTGCCCCGTCTCGTTCCCCCGTGGATGGCTGCTCCTCTCGCTCATCAGGAACTCGGTTGACGTTGGTCTTCTTCTTGGCCTTTCCACATTTCCTCTTCTTCTTTGCTGCTGCTCTCTGCTTGGGAGGCATGGTGCAAAACTTGGGAAACCTTGTGAAATTTTATAATGAAGTGTCTCCTGCGAAATTTCTTGTGAAATGTCGTTATGTATGGTCAAGGATCTCTTTGGTATTGTGTTGTTATTGGTGGTCGACTGAATTGATGGCACTCTTCAACCGCGCCACATGCACGCGCGCGCACACGTAATGTGTAATTGCGTAAAATGTGTATTTTACAGTTCTGTGGGGGAAACCCCCCATATAAATTGTAGACAGAAATCTACGGCCGCCGCAGGGACCTGACTGCTACCCGTGGAAATGCTGCGGCGGCCGTAGAATCTATAGACTCCAGGTTTTAGACCCTACGGCCGCCGTAGAAAATGTAAAGCACAGACGGTTATTTGAGTTATAAAATACTTACAGAAAATAATGAAATGAAATGTATTAATTTATTTATTTTTATTCGCCAAGCTCCCAACATACAACAATATACAAGAATCAGGGGCGGATCCAGGAATTTCTTCCGGGGGTGGGGGGGGGGGGGGGGGCGGCACACGGGAGGCACACGGAGGGGGGGGGGGGCACACGGGGGGTAAGAGGACATATATTTATTTAGTTTTGGTCCCCCAAAAATCGCAACGACTCAGCCAGCCACTGAATAAGCAGGGGGTTAAGGGCACTTTTGGGGGCGGGGGGGGGGGGGGCACGTGCCCCCTGTGCTCCCCCTTGATCCGTCCCTGAAGAATAACAGATCAAAATTAAGTCGGCTTGAACAGGATAACAAACGAAAGCTCGAGAGCTTATTTCGAGTGGGGTCTCCGACACTTGTAGGCCTACAAAATTATTAATAACTTATTACAGATAATAATGATGATAATTATAATAACAACATTAAACTGATGAAGAAATTATAATAAGTACAATGAGAAAAAAAAGGGGGGAGAAGAAGAAAAAGAGGAGGAGGAGGAAGAAGAGGAAAAATATG